CTTCAAGGTACGATCCTCCAAAAGCACCCTCCTTTAATGTACCGATTTAATCATATATTTATCAACCCATTATTTTGGATTCTTAAAATATTTATATTTCTCCTGTCATTAATTCATAGCCTTCCGAATTATTAATAGTCCGAGAATTAAGGGCTCGCAATTATCGGATAGTGGTCTCGACCCACTTGGTTGTCCAGTTGTCATTCTTTATATCAATGGGGTCCATGACCCATTCCTACTATCATAATAGTATTGTTTAGATCAACATTAATTTTTTTATACGCTAAGAATACCACGGGTGGTCCCCGCTCCCGATGTGGGTCCCATGTCTGATCAATTATCCTTTATTAATTTAAGACAAGAATTTTATCTTTCTAATTTATCAAGGCTACTCTAGTCTTGATTTACCTTCTTTAACCATGTACTTGAGGAAAAAATTTCTCTGGGTAAAATTCGGGTCCGGTGTTACAGATCCCTATTAAAGAAATATGGTGTGACTCACAAGATCTCTACCGCTTACCACCCTCAAACCAATGGCCAAACGGAAACCTCAAACAGGGAGTTGAAATCTATACTGTAGAAAACAGTGAACCCGAACCGCAAGGATTGGAGTATACGCATTGATGATGCACTATGGTCATACCGAACCGCCTACAAAACTCCCATCATTATGTCCCCATATAGACTTGTGTTCGGCAAAGCTTGTCATCTTCTTCTAGAGCTTGAACACAAATCATATTGGGCGGTAAAAGAATTCAACCTCAATCTTGACGAGGCCGGTGTGCATAGGAAGCTCCAATTACAAGAGTTAGAAGAACTCCGCCTTGATTCCTATGACAATGCGGAAATATACAATAGAAAAATGAAGGAGTGGCATGATAAAATGATTATAAGGAAGGACTTCAAAATTGATGATAAAGTCCTCTTATTTCAATCACGCCTTCTTTTATTTCCGGGAAAGCTGAGATCCCGTTGGACTGGACCATACAAAGTGCTCAAAATATATCCACACGGGGTGGTGGCAATTCAAGACCTGGAGACGGGAGAGGTCCTCAAAGTGAATGGACAACGATTAAAACCCTTCTTTGAGGGTTTTCAACCCAAAAATGTGGAAGTCATAGACATTTCTGAATCGGACTATGAATGAAGAGCAAAGATAACGTCGTGCCACGACGTTAACTAAGGCGCTTCTTGGGAGGCAACCCAAGCAAGGTACGTAGATTTACTTTTAATTTGTTCCAAAGTTTCATTTTCTGTTTTGAGAGAACGGAAGAGAGGGCACTAACCACATTTTTCAAAGGAGAAGAAAATGCAGGTGTTGACAATCAGGGGGCATACCCGATCGGGTATCACTATATACTCGGTCGGGTATGGCTAAAAAAGAGGGACCGAGTTCAATACTAGATCGAGGCAGCCAGATTTTTCAAAAAAATACATGCATACTTGATCGGGTACAATTGCATACCCGGTCGAGTATTCATAGAAAAACGAAGCTTAAAAAAGCCTGCCTCGAAGACTCGATCGAGTAAGGAGCTCAAAAGGTGCAAAAAGACGAATACCCGATCGGGTATAACTTTCTACCCGATCAGGTAGTGCTGAAAAAACTGAAGTTCAAAACCCCTGCCTCCTATACTCGATCGGGTATAACACAATACTCGATCGGGTATTCTTGAAAAACCCAACTTCCAGAACCCCTACCTCCTATACCCGATTGAGTAAAGCAGGATACCCGATCGGGTACACCTGCGTTTTAACCCCAAAACATCCCAAATCACTTCATCTTCCCCAATTTCCCAACCAAATTTTCGAACCCCTCTCCCCCAACCTCCATTTTCAAACCTTCTCTCTACCATATCTCCCTCATTTGTCCATCAAATCACCCCATTCCACCACCAAAATACTCCCCTCAGTCTCCACTACACACCCATACCCACAAACCCAATTTTCCCCCAAAATCCCAAAGGTCCGAAAACCCTACCCCATTTTCGAATTTTGGAGTTTTCAAGCCTCAAATCACACCAAAATGGCACCAAGGAAGAGCAAAGGAGACAGCTCCAACAACATGACACCCATCCCGGGCTATGAGGACCTCCAATTCGCCAACACCGAACACCGAACTCGACTTCTCGCTACAATAACAAGGCAAGTAAAACCTTCCCGTTTTCTATGCCATGAGGCTTTACGTGAACTAGGCATTTATAGGAGTACTGAGCAATTCTTTCATGAGTTGGACATGAACCGCATTTTCAAAATGAAATACAACTCTAACGAAAGAATTATCTATGAATTCATGAGTTCGGTGCACTTTGAGAACAATGATGAGGACTTTAGGGATGACAAACTCACGTTTCGTCTATTCAACCAAGAATATTCGATAACGAAACTTGAGTTTACTGAACACTTTGGCATTCCCGTCCCCTACGCAAAAGCCATTTCCGATAATACCGTGTTCGGGCACACACTTTGGACAAAGATGACCGGTGAACTGCGCTTTAGCTCCTCCCAACTGTACATAAGCCATGTCCAACACCCCACCCGAAGGTTATTTTTAAAAATTTTGGCGAATTGTTTGCTTGGACGTCCCAAAAATCACCATACAAGGATGGGGGACGTATGCTTGATTAATGGGGTTTTGTTCCGTCAAGCTGTGGACTTCAATATGTGCAACTTTATGTGGGCACACTTGAAAAAAAGAGAGCACGGCCAAAGGGCCAATTGTTGTGGGTGGGGTGATCATGCATTTGGTGACCAAGTTCATGTATACGGATAACTCTCCTATACCCGACTACTGTTTGATGAATATGGCTTGGTTAGGCCACTCAGGGTGCACAACATTCTCTCACACGGTGTATGACGATGACCAACCACGAAATGTGTACAATTGGCTCATCCACCCCAAGCCTATAAGACATTTCCCCATGCCTGATCCGGAACTCCCCCAACTACTGTACAACGTAGAAGTGCCCCATTACTTATTTCCCAATGCCCTTCCACCTCATCTCAGAGACCCTCAACACGAGCATAACGCTGAACCCCGTGATCATGAGGACATGGACGTAGACATTCCCGAACAACCCCAAGACCCACCACCACCCAACTATTTCCAACAACTTTTGGAGGGTCAACAACAACTACTTGCACGGTTCAACCAAATGAACTTCAACTACACGACTATGGGAGAGCGGCTCACCCGAGTAGAGGAGGAGCAAAGAACCGGAATTCAATGGATAGAGGAACTTCGGGAAGCTGACAATTGGAGATATGAGGAGGATCAATGTAGGTTCTATGGACCTATGTACTCCTACATAGCCCGTCAAGGCTCTTTTCATACTATGGCCACTCCTCCTCCTCCACCCTCTTGGTACGACCCCGCTCATTGGGGTAGCTTTGGCGGTTCAAGCTCCGGTGGTGGAGGCAACGACACAATGGGGGATGGCGGCACTGGTGGCGGATTTGATAGCAGTCTTGGGGGTGGCTTTAGAGGAGGCTACTATGGCGGTGCGGATGGAGACTAAGGATAGTGCCTTGATCCAAGTGTGGGGGAGGAAAACTCATCTTTTGGTATGTTGAATTCTTTCTTGTTTTTACTAAGCATTACTTTCTTGTACTCTTTGTACACAAAAAAAAATAAAAGAAATTTATGCTAGTTAGGTTGAAAACCCAAAAACGGGCAATCTAAGCAACAAGGGCTTATATAAAAAAAGATGAGTGAGTGGTAAGGAATGAAAAATAAAAGAGATGCTAGGATGAAAACCTGAAAAGGCTCCTAGGCAAAATGAGAGATATGAGAGAGATATTTGTTGTTGCAGGACATGATCTCTTGAAGATGAAGAAGAAAAGAGGAAGAAGAAAGGAGGGAAAGAGAAGATGAGCACTAGAAGACCATAAAACCCAAGAAGATATTGTAATTTCACTACAAGAAAGTAGGGCTTTTGCCCACACGCGTATGTGTTGGTAAAAGTGTGGTTATGTGTGGGCAATAACATTTACCCACACATATAGTAAGTGTAGCGATGTGTGGGTAAAACTCTGTATGTAAAACGTATTACCCACACATGATATTATGTGTGGGTAATTATTTGTTATTTACCTACACATTCTTGTATGAGCAAAGCTTAACAATATGTGTGGGCAAATACCGGCACGATGACGAGGCTTTTTGACGTGGCGCATTATGTGGATGCTGACGTGGACAATGACGTGGAGCATTACGTGGAAGCTGATGTGGCAAACTTGATGACGTGGCGTGTGATGCAACGAGATGTGTGATTGCTGACATGGCACACTACGTGGATGTTGACGTGTCACCTTGGTTGACATGTGCCATGTAAATGATGCCACGTGGAAACATTTATGTGTGGGTGAAAATATCAATATGTGTAGGTAAAACCTCCATATACAAGTGAATCAAATTTTGTGTGGGTGAAACTACCTTTATTGTAGGTAAAATTTAATATTAAGTGTAGGTATTGGTTATTACATGTGGATAATTTGTTAGTCTCAATTTACCATTTAAACTGCTGAATTTAATTATACAATATCAATAATACAATATGATATAATTTAAAAATGAACCACATTAATATCAAAGTTGTCCACAATATGACAACACAAAATCAAAACCAATCCTTCAACATATAATTTTCAATTCTAACAAAGTCATGGAAATAAAAACTTGTAATGTCAAAATATTAGACTTCAACTACTACCAAACTTAAAATATATATTTAGTCTCATGTAAGTGTAACTTCTACTCATTAAATTCAGAAGTGGAATCCTCATAGCCATCATATTGTGGACCTCGTCCAATAGAAGGTGAGCCGCGATTGAGTGCACCGGAACAATGATCTGATGGAACATGTGGCATGGGTGGCATAATATTCTTCTCAATCAACAGTTTTTCCATCATTTCAACACGATTAAGCAATTCACTATACGTAGGAAGATTCGAATCATCTCTACTTTTTTTAGATGCACCAGAAGGAGACCGTCCCCAACCAAACAAACGAACGGATTCCCGTCCAAGCACCTTCTCTAAAATTTTCTTATCAGTCATTTCTTCAGGTGAATTTTCTCTTCTCAACTGCATCATTTCTTCCTATTAAGTTATTAATGAAATAGAAACAACTCATTAGTTAATGGTAGATATTCTCAATGTGTGTGTGTGTGTGTGTGTGTGTATATATATATATATATATATATATACACATATGTGGTCAATAAAGTAAGAAAATAAATTCAAATGAACTTGTCAGATGAGAACACTCAAAATTAAATATACTTACATATTTAGATTCCGCTTCTTCAGAAACCCAACCACGTTCTGAATGCCAGTGACGGAGGCGCCATGTTTCAATATGTCCAACAGGAGCATCCAATTCAAATCCATGACTAACATGATGGCGTGCCGTACTCTTTGAACCATTTCTCGAATTCCATTTTCTTTTTTTGCGCGACTCGGCATTTTTAAGAGCTTTAACCTATAGCACAAATGATCACCAAAACCAAAGCATTCATTTAATCCGGAAAAGAAATAGGGAAGAATACAAACCAAATAAGTGCATGCATGTTACCAATCACTTATTTGTCCCTAATCACTAATGTGTCTGAACTTCAGTACAATTTACTTTGACCAAAATTTAAAGTTAAGAAACTACGGAGCTAATATGCAAGGAAAGACGTGTTAATGTAGTGCAAAGCATATATAGTTTTTGATTTACTAGCAAAACTTCCTCATAGATATCCATTGTAGAATAAATAAATCAACTAATCATGTCTCTTGTTAAAAAAAATACTCACTAGGTATCCAGGGGTACTCCAAGAATCACATAGATATTCCCAATCGAGTTGGCTAACATCCTCATGAGGTTTACTCTTTGCCTTTGTTAAGTCATTTGCACCTCCAACTTCTTTAAAATGTTTACGTAAGGTATGCTTGTGCCCCTGCCAAGCTCTTTGCATTTGCTTATCAATTGCCTTTTTGACTTTTGAATTTCTCACATCAACATCAAACAATGTCTATGTAACAAAAAAAAGAGATACAATTGATTGCAATAAAAATTTCTCTGTAAATGCAAATAAACTAAATAATCAAGCTCTCTGTATACGATGGCTACTTACCTCAAGTTTGTCACGAAGTGGTGCTCTAATTTCTTCGGGTACAAGCCTCCAATCTTTGTACTTTAAGTCACAATTCTTACGAACGATATACCCAATTTCATTATTGAAAGCTTCTGCATTATCACATATTGCTTGCATAAGGGTAAAATCGAACTTCACCGACAATTTTGACTTGGCACTTTTCACGGTCTTCCGGGTAGCTTTACTGCAGGTTATCCCACGCACATTTGAACTTCTTTCTGTACTTTCATCATTGACAGATGAATTTTCATTGGCTGTAAGAGGTTATTTTGTACATTAAATTACATCATCATTCACACGCACAATATTCAGCTAAAGAAGCGGCATGTTAATAAAAATACAACATCAATGTACTGCCAGGCTAACGAAATTAAATTACACTAACATCCATATTAGAGGAAAGAAGCTACCGCGTGTTAATAAAAATTCCACATCAAATACTAGCTCACACATATAACGATAAATCTCTATACTCGTAAATAACATATCAAATACTAGCTCACACACATAATTGAATTTACTAACCTGTTTGAAGCTCTTCAGTAGGAGACGAGTTGACAATAGGTACCCTGTCACGTGCTACTTGTCCATCACACCCTCCTCCTTTTGAAACTCGTGTGGCTCGTACAGATTGCGCTATAGATTAAATCAAATTACAACCTATTTTAGTTAATTTTAATAAAAAATGTGGATACAACTTACCAGGTCGTTTCAGCATTAGTTCAGATGGTTGAGATGCTCCTAAGTCTGTATTTTTATATAGTCAATGTTCAATAGATAAACATAAATACAAACATTTACTTGATAGTAATTGAATTTACTAACCTGTTTGATGCTCTTCAGTAGGAGATGAGTTGACAATAGGAACCATGTCACGTCGTACTTGTCCATCATACCCTCCTCCTTTTGAAACTCGTGTGGCTGCTCGTACAAATTGCGCTATATATTTAATCATATTATAGCCTATTTTAGTCAATTTTAATAAAAAGTGTGGATACAACTTACCAGGTCGTTTCAGCATTGCTTCAGATGGTTGAGATGCTTCTAATCAATATTTTTATATAGTTAGTGTTCAATAGATAAGTATCAATAATTTATTATTTAGATATAATAAAAAGTGCGTATATAACTTACCAGGTTGTTTCAAAACTGCTCCAGATGCATGAGATGCTCCTAAATCAATATTTTTATGTAGTTAATGTTCAATAGATAAGCACCAAAATTTTATTATTTAGATATAATAAAAAGTTCATATATAACTTACCAGGTCGTTTCAAAACTGCTCTAGATTGTTGAGATGCTCCTAAACCTTTATTTTTATATAGTCACTTTTAAATAAATGGGCATAAAAACAAACATTTGCTTGATAGTAATAAATTTTACTAACTTGTTTGAAACTCTTTAGTTGAAGAGTTTCAACTTGTGCATCACACCCTCCATGTGAAACTTGGGTGACTCGCACAAATTGCGGTATATATAAATTCATATTACTATCTTTTTTAGTTAATTATGCTCAAAAGTGTAAATATAACATACCAGGACGTTTTTTATATAGTTAATGTTAAACAAATGAGCATAAATATAAACATTGACTTGATAGGAATTGATTTCACTAACCTTTTTGAGGCTTTTCGGTAGGATACTGATTCATAACTGATCCGGATGGTTGAGATGCTCCTAAACCTTTATTTTTATATAGTCACTTTTAAATCAGCATCAATCAATGCAGCATTGCCAATTTAGGATAGGACTGAATTTAGCCAGCCTTTCTCATTTCTCTTGCCAGACTTTCTCATTTAATTAAAGAAGTCCTCTTAAATTACAATGCCAATTTACGAGTAAAAACATGAATAGTAATTACAGAAGCATGATTATATATTTATGTTATGGTACACGATGCTCATTTGGTAGACATATATCCAGCAACTAAATATAAATCACATGTAGTACATATTAATGCATACTTATTAAGAAATCCTAAATTCATATAATAAAAAAACAAACATTTACTTGATAGTGATTGATTTCACTAACCTGTTTGAGGCTCTTCAATGGGAGACTGATTCATCATAGGAATCCTACCACGTCCACCATGGCCACTAAACCCACCTCTTTTTAAAGTAACCATTTGAACTCTGTCCCAACATTTTAAAATAAAATTATAGAAAAATACAAATGAAAGTACAATAACAACAACAACATCCAAGTCTTAATCCCAAAAGAATTTGGGGTCGGCTAACATGAATCGATCTATGATATCGATGCCAAAAAGAGAAAAATACAAATGAAAGTAAGAAAATAAATTCCAAATATGTTCAATATAAAAATAACCTATGATTAAGTTTATGTCATGTCATAGTGTCCTCATCATTGACACTTGGTTCTAATCCATCAGAGTCATCGTCAATATCAGGTTCCAGAGGTATTTCTTGGTCAAAGAAAATTCTACCATCATCCCCGTCAAAATCTTCAGTGTCTTCCAGGAAATCATCATGCTCACTTGTTACAGACGTTTGGTTACGCAATTTATGGACAACCTCATTGGGTAACGTGTCTGGTTCCACATCTTGTCTAACCAATATAGAGGTCTCATCCATAAATTCGATTGGATGGAAAGCAGGTAACTCACTGGCATTCTCCTCCTGAAATATATCATTGCTATCATCGTGCTCCGGTATATCGTAAATGTAACGATGATTTACTTTTTGTACAACCATCCAATTCTTGCCTAAAGATCTATCTTCTAAGTAAAAGACTTGTTGAGCTTGACTGGCCAAAATAAACGGGTCTTCATCATACCAATGAGATGATGTATCAATGGATGTCAAATCGTTATTAACCACCATTGTTTTTTCCTTTGGATTGGTATTATACCACTTGCAGCGAAATATAAACACCTTCCTCCCAAGGATGAAATCTAACTCTAAAATTTCAAGCAATACACCGTAGTAAATGATATCACTATTTTCATCCCCAGTGCAAACTCCACTACATTGTGTCTTGAACTTATCATCACGCTCTTTGCATCGAAATCTAACACCATTGACCACACAACTATGCCAAATTGTGTAACGATCATCTGGTAATTGTGACAATGAATACAAATCATCTGTAGCTTTCGGGTCACCATTTACTCTAAGAATAGACATCTAAAAATTTAATATTAGAATTGTATATTGTTAAAAAATACATTGAATATATTTCTATATAAAATTTAGTTACATACCTTATTCTTGAACCAAGTAGGAAATTCCCGTTTTTGTATAATGTCACATTCTTGTGCCCGTGAATTTGTCAGCCGAATAAGATCCAAATGCTCACTAAATTAATTGGTGAACACATTTGTTATATTTTATATGAAATTAAAATTATCAGAAAAATATTGCTACAAGAAAAACTTACTGTATATAATAATCAAGTTCATCTCCACAATTGTTCAGAAGATAGCACTGCACCACATTGCCATAGATCCCAAGATTTCCATATTTAGGAGCCCCGAGTGTACGTATCTTGTTGTTAAACACCTCCATCTTAAACTCTTCGGTAGATACGTCCCAATTACGTTCTGGCCTTGTAAATCTTGTCTCGATATCTTTTAAATATCTTGACAAAAATGTGATAGCCTCGTCAACCACATATGCTTCAGTGATAGACCCATCAGGACGAGCATAGTTTCGCACATATCCCTTATATGTTCCCATACGCCGTTCAACTCCAAACATCCACCTTGGAGAGACTGGCCCTCCCATCAGTGCCTGTGTAGGTAAATGCACGCAGAGGTGAACCATTATAGTGAAGAATGACATTGGGAATATTTGTTCAAGTTTACATAATATGATCACAATCCCAATTTTCATGTCCTCAAGTTCATTAACAAACAAGGTCTTTGCACACAACTTCTGAAAGAATTGGCATAATTCTATCAATGTGGTACGAATTTTCTTATCAAAGAATGCAAGAAGTGCCACTGGCAATATCTTTTGAAGTAATACATGGCAATCATGTGTTTTCATTCCTCCAAGTGTATTTGCATCTGTCACACAACGACTAATGTTGGAAGCATAACCATCTGGTAAGCGAACAGACTTGATGAAGTCACAGAACTCCTTACAATCAGCTTTACTCAAGGTATAATTGGCATGCGGTTTTTCATATTTTCCATTTCGCTCCCTCAACCATAATTCATTACGAATGTTGTGATCTTCCAAGTCAAGACGTGCATTCAAAGTATCCTTTGACTTTAGAGGATCATTCAATAAGGTCCCAACAATATTATCACATACATTTTTTTCTATATGCATCACATCAAGATTATGGCGGATCAACAATTTAGACCAATAAGGGAGTTCAAACAAAATGCTCTTCTTAGACCAATTCAATTCATTAGCACCGCGTTTGCGTTTCTTATCTTTATTGTTTGGTGCTTTTCCAGGAGTGGTATTATAAACATGCTCTAGCTGTTGTAAAATGTCATCGCCGGAAAATTCTCGAGGTGCTCCTCTTCTCTCTGGCTTGCCATCAAATTCTCTATTTTTTCTCCAGCTATGTGTATCACTTAAAAAGCATCGATGCCCCGTATAACATTGTTTTCCTCGAATTCGCTTCCATCTGGTGTCCTCGAGGCATACAGGACATGCCATTCTTCCCATAGTGCTCCATCCAGACAAGTAAGCATAAGCAGGGAAGTCGCTTATAGTCCATATAATTGCTGCCCGGAGAGTAAAATGTGATTTAGAATACTCATCATATGCTTCAACGCCAACTCTCCATAAAACGTTAAGTTCATCCACAAGAGGCCTTAGAAAAACATCAAAATCCTTACCAGGAGACTTTGGACCAGGAATTAATAATGCCAAAAGATAGATACTTTTATGCATCA